TGATTTCCCTGGTGTTTGTTGTCTGGCACAGGGGAAGCTTAGCACAGAGCTGGGGAGATGCTCAGGAGTTAGCTTTCTGAGCCTGTGTGTGAGCATGAGGCTGACTGCTGGGTGACACTGATACAGCAGAGATCAGGAATATGGCCTGCAGTGACTCAGGATGGGGAGATGCTTTCTCAGGGTCCTTTTTGTATGATTGAATCTTCACTTTCTACAATACAGTGCAAGCCCTGGGGAACTAACTGCTTCTTAGATTTGCAAACCCTGTTGTACTTGGGTGGGGTAGGAGTCGGGAGAAGGGACTTGTGGTGGGCACCTCTCACCAGGCTAAATCTTCTGGAAGGTGGATAGGGTGAACTGCTCCTTTGGCAGTGACTTGGAGAGACACCCAGTCTCTGGCTGCTGAGAATTCAGCTGCTGGCAGAGGAGCCACCACATGGAGGACACAGGGAGGCATAGGATGATATGTGGGGGTTTGACTCATGCAAGTCATGGGACTTGACATCTTGCTTCCATACACTGTTCTTTTTCCTTAACGCATGCAAGATAAGGATTCATGTGAAGCAAACAGAATGGGAAAGAAGACACTTACGTCTGTTCACTATGGCTGCTGCTACAAAGGACCAAAAATTGGGTGGCTTAGCAGCAGACAGTCACTGTCTCTCCGTTCTGAAATAAAAATTAAGGACTGGCTTTTTCTGGGCCTTGCCAGGAAGGGTCTGCACCAGATGTTTGTCCCTGGTGTACAGATGATCATCATAGTGTCTTTCTAGGCATGCCTGTCTGCACACAAGTTCCCTTCCCAACTTTTTTTTTTTTTTGAGACAGAGTCCCACTATGTAGTCTTGGCCGGCCTGGAACTCACTATGTATACCAAGCTGGCCTCAAACTCACAGAAATCCTCTTGCTTCTGTCTCCTCAGTGCTGGAATTAAAGGCATATACCACCACATCTGATTTAAAGGTATTTTGTCTTTTGGGATGTGAGCCTGAACCTTTAACAGCCATGCATTTTCTCTAGCCCAGCTTAGAAGTGTTAATATTTTAAATTTTGATTTGTTTATTTGTTTTTGTTTGTTTTTGAGACAGGGTCTCACTATATAGCCTTGCCTGGTCTGGAACTTGCTAAGTAGACTGGGCTGGCCTTGATTTCACAGAGATCTGCCTGCCTCTGCCACCCAAGTGTTGATACAAAAATTGTGCACCACTACGTCTGTCTTTTTCTTTTTTTCTTTTTTTTAAAATGTGTATGAGTATTTTGCCTGCATGTATGTAACTACATCCATGTCGTGCAATGCCCACAGAGGCCAGAAGAGGGTGTCTGATCTCCTAGAACTGAAGTTACAGACCATTGTTAGCCACCATGTTGGTGCTGGGAGGCAAATCTGGGTTGTCTGCAAGAGCAGTCAGTGCTCTTAACCATTGAGCCATCTGTCCTGCCCTTTAAAAAAATTTTTTTTTAATATTATGTGTATGCGTGTATTGCCTGCATGTAGGTAAGTGTACCCAGGTCATGCAGTGCCCACAGAGGACAGAAGAGGCTGTCGGATCCCCTGGAACTGGAGTTATGGATAGTTGTTAGCTGCCATGTGGGTGCTGGGATTTGAACCCGGGTCTTATGCAAGAACAGTGTTCTTAACCACTGAGCCATCTCTCCGGCCCCCTCTCCTGCCCTTTCATCCTCATCATTATGAGTATTATGGTTTACCCGACACAATACTTTTAGTGGCCTTTATATTGATTATGATCTCTCACATGAGGTAAGTTACGGAATTTTCACTTGTGGTGTTATGTTGGTGTTCAAAAAGTCCTGGTATTTGTCTCATTTCAGATTTTTTCCAAGTTAGGGCCATACTTCTTGCTTTCATTTCCTAGGTACCCTGTAATTTTTTGTCTTTAAAAAAATTTTTTATTATTTTTATTTTATGTGTACGAGTGTACTGCCTGAATGTAGGTGGGTGCACCCGTGTCGTGCATTGCCTGTGGAGGTCAGAAGAGGGCATTGGATCCCCTGAAACTGGAGTTTCATACGGTTGTTAACCACCATGTGGATGCTGGAAATCGAACCTGGGTTGGCTGCAAGAGCAGCCAGTGCTCTTAACTGCTGAGCCATCTCTCCAGCCCTACTTTTTGCCTTTTGAGATGAAGTCTGGTTATGTCGCCTGGCCTGGTCTTGAACTCATAGGCACAAACATACCAGTTTCCCAATAGCTGGGACAACAGGCATGCCACTGTGCCCAGTTGGGGGGTTTAAAACAACAGATATTTATTCCTGCACAGTTCTGGAATCTAGAAATCAGAATGAACTTGACAGACAGGGTTGACTCCTTTTTGGAGGACTTGAGGTCTGAGCACCTGCTCTTGCTAGCTTGTGGTCCACCACTATCCTTTAATTCCTCACCTTGCAGGCATGCCTCTCCATGTCAACCTCCATCTTCACGTGTGCTATGTGTTTCCCTTCTAAGGACACCTGTTGCAATATGACCTTACCTTTTTTTTTTTTGGTCTTTTTGAGACAGGGTCTCTCTGTAGCCCCAGCTGTCCTGGAACTCGCTATGAGACCAGGCTAGCCTTGAACTCACAGAGATCTGCCTGCTTCTGCCTCCCCAGTGCTGGGATTAAAGGCGTAGCGCCACCATGCCCAGCTTGACTTTACCTTTAAAAAATTTTTTATTTTATTTTATTTTATTTTATTTTATTTTATTTTATTTTATGTGTATGCGTATGTTGCCTGCATGTAGGTAAGTGTACCTGTGTCATGCAATGCCTGCAGAGGACAGAAGAAGCTGTTGGATCCCCTGGAACTGGAGTTATGGACAGTTTTTAGCTGCCATGTGGGTGCTAGGATTTGAACCCAAGTCTTCTGCAAGAACAGCCAGTGTTTTTAACCGCTGAGCCATCTCTCCAGCCCTGACCTTACCTTTTTAAAAAATATTTTATTATTTTTATTTTATGTGTATGAGTGTATTGCCTGCATGTGTGTAAATGCTCCCATATATATGGTCCAATGCCTGTGGAGGTCAGAAGAGGGCTTTGGATTCCCCTGGAACTATAGTTACGGAAAGTTGAGAGCATCCAGTGCTCTTAATCACTGAGCCATCTCTCCAGTCCCTGACCTTACCATTTTATAAAAAATGTTTTGATTGAATTTTAATTTTGAGTATTTTGCCTGTATGTATATAAGGGCGACCATGCATGCAATGCCTGAGGAGGCCAGAAGAGGGCGTTAGATCCCCTGGAACTGGAGCTTCAGATGGTGGTTAGCCTCTGGGAATGGAACTCAGGTCCTCTGGAAGAGCAGCCAGTGCTCTTAACTGCGGAACCATCTCTCCAGTCCCTAGTCTGACCTTTTCTTAACTAATGACATCTATAATAATCCTATTTTCAATAAGACTGCATCCTGAGGTATTGGAGATTAGGGGATTTGGGGGGAGAGGACAGGGTCTCAGGTAGTCCAAGCTGGTTTGAACCAGGTAGATAGATGAGGATAATCAATCTTGAACTCCTGATCTTCCTACTTCTCCCATCTATGTGCCAAGATTATAGGCATGCACCATCATGCCCAATTTATGAGGTGCTGGGGGTCAAACCCAGGGCTTCGTGCATATACAATCACTCTATCAACTGAGCTACAACCCTAGCTCTGGGAATTGGGACTATAATATATATTTTTTAGAGGGACACCAACCCAAGACCCTAAGGAATGTGCTGAACTGCTTAAGTCCCCAGAACTAGAATTCAAGATTCTTTATCCAGACCTCCCCATAGTTAAGGCATGTGTATATATTAGAGGGTAAGACAGGACCTCATCTCTGTTATCTTCCCACATTCCCTATAAAGAGTATGTGGTCATGTTAGGTAGTTATGAAGATATTAGCAGAGTGGCTCATGCCTTTAATCCCAGCACTCGGGAGACAGAAGCAGGCTGAACTCTGTCGAGTTCCAGGCTAGCCGGGGCAATAGGGAGAACTTTTCTCAAAAAGACCAATAAATAAATAAAAACAGGCCTGGAACACATTGGATCTGGACTTCTTTTTTAAAAAAAAAGTGTATGTGTCAGTGTGCGCATGCTAGTGCAGTGCCCCTGGAGGCCAGAGAGAGCATCACATCCCCTGGAGCTGGAGTTGCAGGCATTTGTGTGCTGCCAGACATGGGTGCTAGGTTATGAGGCTGACCAACTGCCTACTGCACTAAGAGGGTGATGATATGGATGCTAGGACTCAAACTCTGGTCCTCTGCAAGAGCAACAAGCACTCTTAACCACTGGACCATCCCTCCAGCCCCAGGAGGCTTTCTGATAAAGACATACCACTGCCCCCTCCTTTAAGAGTCAATCTAGGTGCTAAGGAAGTGGCTCAGTGGGTAAAGCCGCTTGCTCTACAAGTTTGAGGTCCGGTATTTGGACCCCCAAAACCCACTGGATCCATTAATGAGAGTCTGTAATCCCAGTACTCTTACTTCTAGATGGAACTTGAGACTAACTGGAGTTTGCAGGCCAGCTAGTGTAGTGTATGCAGGAGTGACCAAGAAACCCTTTCTCATACAAAGTGGGAGGTGAGGATGGTCGTGGTTATTAAAGGGGCTAAGTAGACCAGGCTGGCCTCGAACTCACAGAGATCTGCCTGTCTCTGCCTCCCAAGTGCTGGGATTAAAGGCATGCGCCACCACCCAGGTTTAACCCGAGCTTTTAGAGAGGTGAGGAAGTGGGGATCAGCCTGAATTATAGTCTCAGAGAAGCTGAACGGATGCCGGAAAGGCATTGTGTAAAAAGTTCCCCATTTTCCATCCTCAGGTTTTTCCAAGTTCCTTGATCTAACCCTAGGGTCCACCCAAGCGCGCCCCCAACACTCCAGCTCCAGGAGCCTCACACAAAGCGGTTCCTCCCTGCGTTCCCAAGCGCGCAGGAGGAGCCCGCTGCGGATTGGTGTTCGCCGCTGGGGCTCGGTCCTCGCTCCGCCCCGGCTCCCATCCTGGCATAACGATTGGCTGAGCGGCGGTGCGCGCACAGCCCGCTGCCCCGCGGACTCCGCCCATCGGGCCGGGAACTCTAGTGGGAAGCGGGCGCCGGCTGTCGGAGCGTGACTGCGTGCGCGGGGCGCTAGGAGGCATTGTCGCCGTAAGTGCAGCCCAGAGTGACCCGAAACCCGGCCACACGCTTCGCGCCGCGCAGAGGAAACGTGGTCTGAGGCTGAACGCTGCAGGGGCTGCGGGAGGCGGGATCACATAGTCCCGGGCTGGGGAGCCGCCCTTCCCTTCCCCCAGGTCACCCTGTGGCACCGAAAGGCGACTCCCGAAGTGCCCAGGGGCCGTGGAGGCGCCGGGCCTGGCTGGCACCTTGCAGCTGGCCGGTGATCGGTCGTGGGAGTGGGTGGGTCGCGGGAAGTACTCCCGGGCGGCCCTGCTTCCGTTTCTCCGGGGAAGCGCGGGTGCTGGGAGACGCTGCTGCGGATTTGGTCTTCGAAGTGCCCCTTGCAAGGTCTGCTTCCGCTTGGGGTGCAGGCGTGCCGAGCTGGAGCGTGTCTCTAGCCGCGTGGCAAGCCCCCGGCCCCTGCGATCACCAGCCTGGGCATGGGGTGAGACGGGTGTCTGGCTCGCAGGGTCCAGGGATCCTGGCTTTGGCCACTGTGTACAGCCAGGGTGTGTGGGGGAACAAAATCCAGATATTCACGCGGGAATCCCCAAACCCTAAGGCTCAGAAACCAGACGCTGATGTGCCCTGCTCACGCCCCAGCGGGCTCTTAACTCTGGGTGGGAAAGTGGGTCAACTCGGTTTTGACCTCGAGTGGGCCTTTGGGGTCACTGTGCCCTGCAGCATTCACCTCCCCACACTGGTCCCTGGCATTGGCATGGCGGAAAAGCCTGACTAACCAGCGGTGGGGGCAGCTCGTGCACATGGCTGTGGAGGCTCCGATTGCCCTGCAGAGCTGCTGCCAGCTCTAAAGTTCCCAGTTGACCACACGAGTAACTAAATATAGGAGCAGCTGATGCGCCTGGGGTGTCGCAGTGGCTCCTTTGCAGAGGTCTTGGGGCTGCAGATAAGGTAGTTCTCACCGGTAAAGGCCGAATTAGCGCTATAGTCACGGTTTAAGTACCCCTGCCCCCAGCTTTGAATCCAGGTTCTGGCAGAACAGTTGCACAAGTTCAGCATTGCAGCGTTTGCTAAGCAATTCAGTTTATTATATGCCAAACGTCTGCTCTGCTGCTGTTGAATCACCTATGCATTGGTAATGCCTTAATGTGTAAAGCACTTAATGGTTTGCAAAGGACAGGCTCAAAAGTGAGATACCACCAGGGACTTTGCTTGACAGCACTGCTGAAGAAGGTGGTATTTCACTTTTACAACTGGCTGCTTGACACACTGAGAACTTTCCAGAACTTGGCTCTGATTTGTTGTGCCCCTCAGAAGACAGCTTTCTGGGAAGGCCTCCAATGATCCAGAACAGATTGGCGCTTGTCTCTGTCTCCTCTCTGGCATGTCTTTGTGCACCTGCTGTTGGCATCCTGTTTCCTCCCTCTGAGGCCATGCCCCTCCAGCCTGGTGTCAGGCTGTTCTTGCATATGGCTCATTCTGCCTCCCATGGGAAGCTTGTTCTCTATCAGGCATGTCTGACCTGTCTGTGGCCTGCAGGCCACATGTGTCCCAGAATAGCTATGAATCCAGCCTAACGTATCTGTAGATGACAGTGTTGTGTCGTGTCTCAGTGTCAAAAGGTGGGACACCTCTAAGTGTCCTCCATCTCTGGGCTTTATAGATGGTGATCAGTAGATGATAGATTTAAACATTTCCTGGGGCTGTGGCACAAGCTGTAGGGGAAGGGAAAGTAAGATGGGAGAGGGTTTAATCCTTAAGTCTGAGGGCCTTGGGGTTTGGAGTGCTGTCTTTGAAAATTCTTCTCTCCCCACCACTTTTCTCCTCTACTCTTCCTCTTCTTCTTCCCTCTCTTATCATTCCCCCCACCCCGCCCCAGTGTTTTGTTCTGTTTTTTTTGATGGGGTCTTGCTCTGCAACCAAGGCTGGCCTGGAACTCAAGATCCTCCTTGCTTCTAGCACCCTGGTGCTGGGATTTCAGGGCTGTACCACCATATTCATTATCCCCCGCCAGACCTGGGATTGGTGGCACTAGATAAAACACCCCAGGCTCAGAGCAGGCCCATGTGGGCTGCATGCTCCTGATTCTCTCCCTTGTGGATAGTTCCTGACTCTCTGCTCCCACCACCTTAGTGTGAGGGGTTGACCAGATGCCTTCAGGAGCCCAAAGGCTTGTGGGACAGGGCTGGGGCCTGTGTCTGGGTATGTGGTTCATTATGGTTCCAGAAAGGATGACTCATGCCTTGATTGTTCAAATGGTGCTGATGTGCAGATTGTGATGACCTCCAATTGTTCGTATAGACAGGACCCTTTTGCCCTAGAGGCAGCCCACTGCTGTCATTCTCTTGTTTGGCTTGGACAGTTGTCTGTTTCTCTTTTCAAAAATTGAAAATAAAAAAGAACAGCTGTCTCTCTCTGCTCCCTCACCACTACTGAGATTGAACCCAGGGCCATAAGAAAGATTTCACTAAGTTGATCTCTTGAACTTGCTCTGTAGTCCAGACAGTTCTTGAACTTGGGAGTCTCCCCTTTAGTCTACTGAGTATCTGGGATTACAGGCCGGTGCCACCAGGCCCAGTAATAGCTGTCTTTATCTCCCCCTCCCCAACCTTTCTGAGCATCTGTCAAATGCTAAACAAATACCTGCAGGTTTCGTCAGACAAGCCTAGTATTGGGGGCCCAGCACTAAGCTCAGCTGGGTGGTCTTCTGGGTGCTCTTTGGAGGGTCAGAAGTCCACTCCAGCCCCATGTTACTCCAAACTTGTTTTCCCTCAGGTCTGGAGCCCTGCTACCCTGTCTTGGGCCCTATACAATATGTGACCTGTCACCTCTCCATCTCACAGCCATGCCTGCTTTGTCATCTGACCTGGGAGAGGAATGACCAACTGGACCTGGTGGAGCAATTCTCCCACGTGGTAGGGAAGAAGTAGTTTTTGGTGAGGTGTGGGTAGCTATCTAGTGAATTTGGGCAGGTAACATTTTGATGTTTTGGGGGGCCACCTAGGCCATATCTGTGCTGTCCCAGCACATCCTTAGAGCAAGGGATCCCTTTTTCCTAATGAGTTGTGTTGACACCCAGACAATGTAAGTTCCTGTTCAGAGGCCTGTGTCCACTGACTCCTTTCATTAATGGCCTAAGGTACCATCTCCACCTGGTGGCAGCTAGTAGAATTGCAGGCATTGTAGCTAATTGATAGCCTGGTCTATTAGACCAGGTTAGCAAAGACCCTGGGCATCTTGTCAGTTTTTCTCTGTCTCAGTTCTGATATTCAGAAATTTCTTCTCTGTCAGAATCACAAGTAAGTTTTGTAATTTTTCTCTTTTATTTTTTGTCAGGGTCTCACCATGTGTCTTTGGTTGGCTGGAACTCACTATATAGAACAGGCTAGCCTTGAATTTACAGAGATCTACCTGCCTCTTGCCTCCTGAGTGGTAGGATCAGAAGTGTGTGCTACCACAATTTTCATTCCTATGCCCTAACCCTAACATGCTCAATACGTATTTATGATTATTGATGATGAATATCAGAGGGAAAAGGAGAGGACATGGTATGGAGGTAATAGTCCTAGGCTGAGAATTAGGACACCTGAGTTCTCCGTTTCCATCTAACTGATTAGCATTCTCTCTTGATTCCTCAGTTTCCCCATACATAAAGGGGTTAAAATAAGTCACTCCGGGGCTGGTGAGACAGCTCATTGGGTAAAAGTGCTTGCTGCCATTTCTGATAACCTGAGTTTGATCCCTGGAGAGATCAAAGAGCACTCCTGAAAGTTGTTCTCTTTCCTCCAGATTTAGCCCATGACACACTTGTACCCACACTCATACATATCATACACATTCACAACAAATAACCGCAAAACTGAGTAAGTCACCTTAGTCCAGCAAAGCTGTGATTCATCCTTAGGGGGATGGGCTTATATAGGCAGCATGGTGCAGTTGTTGGGTTTAGTTTGCTGCAGTCATTTCTGTTCCCCACTGTCACTCACTGGCCCACGTTACACAGGCTACCCATCTTTTAGGCATTTGAACTTAATGACTCTTCAATTTACAATCTGTCTTAGACTTGTTGGAAAAGTCTTAGACTTAGTTATATTCAGGTTTTAAGAGTGTATTCAGATTGGAAGCCCAAATGGTATATGTTGATCATCACCACTGGAGAGTACTTATTAAGTGTCTGTGTTTGCTCTTGAGGTATAACATATAGGGAACAAGCATGTGATAGATATGCTTACAGACCAATGGAGTTGGGGAGAGAGAGAGAGACAGAGAAAGAGAGAAAGAGATCAAGCGCACACGAGAGAGAGAGAGAGAGAGAGAGAGAGAGAGAGAGAAAAGCTCATCAAACAATCCCAGTGACTTGTGTTTGTCATTGAGTGCTGTTGAAGCTCAGAGCAAGGAGAGAACACTGAAGGCCAGGCCAGTCCAGGGACACTTTCTGGGAGTGGAGAGATGGGGACTACTCATTCCTTAAGGATGAGTTCCCCTGAGGTGTTTTCAGAGTCACATGCGTGGTTCATACACAGAGACTTGGTGCTCTATCCTCGCTCTGATTTTCCTTGTGTATTTATGAGTCCTGGACTCAGTACTAGGCAGGCCCACATATTTTGTAGAATCACGTGTACTTAGCAAGGGGGTGTTGCTAGACCCTCTTCAGAGAAGAAATGGGCTCAGTGTGGTTGAGGCCCTCTCCCAGACTTCCCAGCTACTCAGTGGTAGAGTTGGGTGTTTGATTTTTCCCATCACAACATGTCTTGGCCTTTCTGTGTCAGTCTCTTGGTGGGACCCACGTGCTACACACCATTAACCTCCCAAGCAAAGAGGTGGGCTTAGCCTTGCCTGCTTTGCTTGGCCACTCTGAATACTGACCCCACATCTTTTTTTCTTTGCCTTTCCCGCTCTTCTGCCTCTGACCCTTGAGTAGTGTGGGCTTCCTGGAGTTCCTTCATCTGCCTGTGAAGCTGGGATTGGGGACAAGATCAGATTCAGGACAAAGAAGGACTTTGGTCTTGACGTTGAGTTCCCTTTATGGGTGATATGGTTAATGCGAGTGACTTTGTAAAGAAGTCAATGTTTGGGGGGTGCTGAAGAGATGGCTCAGTAGTCAAGAGCACTGGCTGTTCTGACAGAAGACCCAGGTTTGAATCCCAGCATCCACATGGTGGCTAACAACCATCAGTAACTCCAGTTCCAGGTGATCTGATGCCCTCTTCTGACTTCCTTGGGCATTGCAGGACACGGATGCACCTACCTACACACAGGCAATACACTCATACACATAAAGTAAAAATAATAAATAAATAAATTTTTAAAAAAGAAGTGAATGCTGGCCGTAGAACTGGCCTGATCTGGTTGGGTCTGGTCACTCACTAATGTGACCTTGACTTTGACCTTGTCCCAGGCACTTAACCATTCTCTGTGCTTTAGTTTCTTTGCAATAACAGGGAGTTGGAGGTATTTTTATGTCTTTATGTCTTTTTTCTTTTCCTTTATTTATTTGAGACAAGGTCTCATATAGCACAGGCTGGCCTTGAACTTGTTATGTAGCTGAGGAAGACCTTGACATTCTGATCCTTTACCCATTACCTCCCTAGCGCTGGGATTACAGGTATACCTTACCATGCCAGGTTTATGTGGTGCTGAGACTTGAACCCCAGGCTTTGTGAATGTTAGGCAAGCACCCTAACTTTTTACAGCCCCTGCTTTTTACATCTTAATGTTACAATTGTATTATGCCTCTACAGCGCCTTATCATTTGTCTTCCTCCCCCTTTAAGCATCTTGTCCCCTAGTGATCCAATTTCCCTTCTCTTTTTCAGCACCGCCCCTTTGCTTGCAGATAAATTCAGCTATGAGCTGCACTGATAATGAAGCCTGTGGGCTAACACTGTATCCTTTCCATCCTGGCTAAGATTTGAAATTCCTAGAGACCACTCACTTGTAGATTCTGAGTACCCATTTTCCCTGGCACCCCGCTTCCTAGTGTGCAGTAGGGACTTGGCAGATGGGAGCAGTGAGCAGGGGAACTAGCGCAGTTTGGTGGATAAAGCCCTGGCCAGGAGGCTGCAGGATAGGTTAGGTATCTTTCCTCTGCAATTGACTGGGCCCTGCCTCCTCTCCAATATCCTGCTCCACCTGTTGAGTCACTGGCCAATGCATACCACCTGAGCCCTCATACCTGCCTAGCCACTGGTTCAGGTCCTGTGTCTGGTGAGGTCATGCATATCAGGTCTTCCAGAAAAGTGGTAAGGCTCAGCTGCCCTCACCCTCTGAGTAGATTAGATCAGCTCCTGCAAAGGCTGAGCTGTGTGGCCTGGGCTCTGGGTCCCATCAGAGGAGGTGAGTGGCCTGTTGCTTCCTAGGAGCCTAGGTCCCCAGGGAAGAATATGCTGGTCATGGGACCCTGGCTGGCAGGTTGGTGCTTCATGGCCCTGTATCTTCCTTAGGCACAGACCCCTTTGTGAGCAGCAAACCGGCCTGAAGGCTGGGAGCAGGACACCCACATCTGCATGCTGAGGAAGATGGGCGAGGCTGTGGCCAGAGTTGCAAGGAAGGTCAATGAGACGGTGGAGAGCGGCTCGGACACCCTGGGTAAGTGAGGCTTGACTTTCCTTCCAGAAGGCTGTGAGTGGCTTGTGTACTCAGCTGGAGATGCAGGAAGAGATGAGGGGATATCTGTGTGGCCTCTCCGTGAGGATAAGGGCTTTGTGGAACTTCTGCTGCAAGTGTGGCAGTGGTGTGTGGTGTGTGTCCCAGGGTTAGACACAGTTCTTATTTTGGGTCATGGCCAAAGAAGTTTGAAGAATGCCAAGTGATAGAGCCAGCCTGCCTGCTTCGACTTTGGTGACTTGAGTGTATCTGTGTCTTGGACCTGCTGAAAACACCAAGGTGGCCCTGGCCGAGTCATTATCCTTACTCAGGCATGGTGCTGGGTGCCTCCTGAGTGTCATCTTGTTGCATTGTCACAGCTTCTGTGTGGTGAACGATACCTGTCATGCATGGCCAGCCTGTGGGCTTTTTGGGTCCTCCAGTTCCATTGTTGGGTTTGAATTGTGGCATATATCGTTTGCTTTGAAGTGATCTTAGCATTTTAACCTCTCACGTACTACAAGGCTGCAAGCATTTAAACAAATCATCCACATATTTGAGTTCTGCAGATGTATGACAGGGGCAGCAGGGGACACCAAGGAACTATGTATGTGTATGTGTATGTGTGTGTAAGTGCTCATGTGTTTGCGTATGTGACTTAGAGTATATCAGCACTACTAAAGAGTCATAGGTATGTCGTGGGGAACCCAGAAGCCTAGAGCACAACTCTCCCTTGGGGATGATGGTGTAGATGGCCAAGGTGGGCTTTGGCTGTGGAGAGGAATTTTCCAGGCCAGGTGGGGGTTTGTGTGTCTGCATGTGTCTGTGACAAGGAGGCATTTCAGTGGTGGTTATTGCCTGAGCGAAGACCCAGATTGAGTGTTTGTGTGGGCTCCCGAGTCAGAGGGTGATGGACCGGGGAATGGAGAGAGACAGTCAGCCTTCAGATAGCTTTGGTCACTGCCTTTTCCAGGAAGCCCTAAGCCTTACCGCATCCACCCTTCCTCCCTTCCTCCTCTGTAGTATCCATCCAGTTTTCCCAGAGGGCTGGGTCCTTATGGCCTTTTACACCCAACCCCCTGAATCTATGCATTTGGACATAGAGGGTTTGCAGAGCTGAGCCAAGGAGTGAGAGGTGTTGCCTCTACTAGACAGGAAATGGAAAGGTTGTCACTGGCTTTGAAGGGGAGCCCCTGGGACAGCCCTAAGCTGGTGAACCATTGCCTGTGGGCCCTCAGTGGAGCTCTGGATTCTTACCCCAGTATTGAAGGCACTCTGACACTAATACTGTGGTCCACAGCCAGGCTAGGGCTGTCAGACTCGTGAATATGAACCCTACTCTGCCACCTACTAGCCTGGCATGTTAGCAGATCACCTACCTAATCCAACTGAGCCTTGATTTCTTCATGTCCTCCTCATCAGGGTGATTAGGGGCAATTACGTCTCACCTGCTTGGCATACTGGGCACTCAGTAAATGACAGCTATTATTTTTAATCTTTTCTCTTCCTGAAAGCTGGAGGTGGGGCCCAAGTCCTCACTGGCACAAACACATCTCCACAACTGCCAGTCAGCCAGGTCCCTGCAGGGCCTGCTTCATATTCCTTATGAGGAGGGAGCTCAATACAAGTTGACATGTCTCCATACCGTGTCACAGGGTAGAGGACCTGTACAACTCCTTCTCACCTGGATACATATACAGTGAGGGTGGTGAGGCAGTCAACATGGGAGAGCTGAGGAGGGAGAACTGAATTCTGACCCTGGAAGTTCCGGGAGGAGGAGGAGGCAGCTGTGAGGAAACATGAGGTAGCAGTTCAGGTGCAGTTGAATTGGGAGAAGTTCCTGCTAAGTTGTAGAGTTGTCACCCTAACATATGGAAGATGGTGGTGAGGGGTGGTGCCCAAAGGCTGTGTTGAGGAATCTGGACCTCTGAGGACCAGAGATTGCAAATACATGTGTCCCAGTGGCCAGGTGGGGGTGTCTGTGAAGAAGAGTGGGGTCTTCCTTGGTGATGTGTGTGGAGTGGCTAGGGTAGGACATGCCATGCAAACTTCTGCACTTCCAGGGTCCATGCCCACTGAGGAAGCCCAAGCAGGCCTTCAGGCACACTGCCAGACTGCTAGGGTGCCTAGGATCAGAGTCCCTGCCATGTGGCACCAGAGCCATGGCCCTCTTGGTATCGCACAGCCCTGAGGTAAGCTGGTGACTTGTGATTGCCAGGGTCCTGAGCCCTGTGAAGCTCCAGTCAGTGTTCAAGAGCCTTTAACTATGGGGTCCTGGCTGAGGCTCTAGACTTTCCTATGTAAAATTGGGCCTTTAAAATCAGGGTTGGATCATATGGGCCTTTTTACCTTTGTAATGACCATGAAAGCAAAATATGAGACCTTGCCACTGTGAGCTCCCACAATCCTGGCCAAGCCAAACAATCTGAGGGATCTGGGCTTTAAGCAGTCAGCATGTATTGAGCACATGATGTATTCAAAGGACCAGGGAGCTCCCGAGTATGTGAGACCATTACAGTTCAGGCTAAGCTGTGTCATATACATCACAGGTTATTACTATTCAGGGGAGGAGTTGTTACCAGGTGTGAAGTAGTCTGGGAAGATTTTCTGGAGAAAATGGGAACACAACTGGGTTTGGAAAGACAGAGGAAGTAATTCAATATGTTTTCTATGTAAAACAACAAGCAATCTGAACCAGTCTGGCCATCTAGCACTGGGAAGTGCCAGTTATAGAGTGTCATTTACATAGCTGTTAACAACAGATGCTCAAAGACTGGCACATCCCATATGCCATGTGAATTAGAAAGTAAAGGATCCCAAACTGTCTATAATGTGTTTAATGTGTATAGATGTAGAAGCTGAGTGTGTTACATGACTGTTCTCCCAGCCCTCAGGAGGTAGAGGCAGGAGGATCAAGAGTTCTAGGCCAACCTCAGCCAGCCATGTAGACCAGTTCAAGGCCATCCTTGTACTGTATGAGACCATGTCTCAAAACAAAACAGAAGAACAACAAAAACCAAAGTGAGCAAACAAACAAAAAGTGTGTATATGTACAGAAGAGCAAACGGAAGGCAATAAAGTGCAAATGGACATTAGAAAATAGTATTACATCCTGTAATCAGGCATGGTGCCATACACCTGTAATCCTGGCACTTGGAAGGCTGTGAGATGGAGGCCAGCCCGGGCTACAGAGTGAGACTCTTGTCTCAAAAAACAAGAATAATGGCCAGTAAGATGACTCAGTGGGTACGGGTACTTGCTACCAAGCCTGAGGACTTCAGTTTGATTCCTGGACCCCACATGGTAGATGGAGAATATTGATTTCTGCAAGTTGTTCTCACATAGGTGCCATGGCACACATACATGCACACCCCCACAAAAAATAACTACTTATTTATTTATTTATTTATGTATGTATGTATGTATGTATGTATTTATTTATTTATTTGAATGTGTGTATGAGCCTGCAGAGGCCAGAGGCTTTGCATCCCCTGGAGGTGGAGTTACAGGCCATTGTGAGCTGTCCCATGTGGGTCCTGGGAACTGAACTTGGGTCCTCTGTATGAGCAGCAACTGCTTTTAACTGCTGAGCCTTTTACTAGCACCTCTACATATTACTCTTTTTTTTGAGACAGGGTCTCTCTGTAGCCCCAGCTGGCCTGCCACTCACTATGTAGACCAAGCTGGCCTTGAACTCATAGCGATCTGCCTGCCTCTGTCTCCTGAGTGCTGGGATCAAGGATGTGGGCCACCATGCTTGGTTCATATTACTCTAAGCACTGTAGAATTGATTTTAAGGAAGGATCACTTGCGACTTTAGAAGGTAGAGATAATGCTTACATGGGGAGGTGCCTTCTTTAAGCCCCGCCCCCTGGAGTGGGGCGGGCTTCCCTAGCCTCTCCTTTTTTGCAGCCCCTCCCTCTGCCTCTCTGTGGCAGCCTGATGGGCTGGCTGCTGGAGGCCCTAGGTGTTGACGCTGTAGAGCCAAGCTCAGTTTCGCAGTTCGCACATTATTCAGTAGGTGTTCCTGGTCAGCACCTCGCATCCAGTCCCCGGGCGCCTCCTGAGCCAGAGCCGCAGCTGCAGCTTCTCCTGTACCTGTAACCAGAACTGCTCATTCCAGCCCTGGACCCCGACTCCTGGCTCTGTCTCGCTGGAAGTGGGCTGATTTCTGTTCTACTCCCTTGCTTGTGCTGAAGCTCATCTCCCAGGCTCTCACCCCTCCCAGAACTGTCTTCTAGCCTCATGGCAGTCCTCCTGCCACAGCCTGAGCGTTGGGGTAACAGGCTAGCGCCACCATGTTTACACCATGTTGAACCTAGAGCCTTGTACATGTGAGGCAAACATTCTTATCATTGAGCTGCTGCCCAGCCCTTGCCTTCCTTTAAGTTTTTGTTTTGAAGTAAAGTCTCACTTGAGATTCTGCCTCAGCTTCCCAAGTGGCTGGGGTTCCAGGCCTGTGCCATTCATTGGGCCTGGCTGTATACCTATTTTTGATCTCCATTGTGCCTTCTGTGACAAGTTGCTCTTGGTATGAGAGTCTGCTGGTGCTTGCTGGATGGACTCTGGGCAGCCTGGGACCCTGTTTCCTGTCTGGCAGAGCCTTGGTTGAGGGACTGTGTCCTCTGAGGGGTTGCCTTGGCCTCTGTCAGGTGTCTGAATGTGAACAACTGAAGGAACATGTGTTCTGCCTACTTTCTGGTCCTCAGGGTTTCTAGGTCTTTCTAGGTCTTAGGGGAAATGACCTTTGGGAGCCCAAGTAAGAACAGGTCTGTGGACTGGGGAGATGGTTCAGTGGATAAAGTGCTTGCTGCACAGAATGAGGACCCGAGTTCTGATCCCCAGCATCCATGTAAAAGCCAGCAGTGGTGGCAGGCACCTGTGAATACAGCCAGGGGGAGGGGGAGTTAAGAGGAGAGACAGGCAGACTCTGGAGAATATCTGGCCAACCAGTCTAGCCAAAATGGTGAGCTCCATGTTCTGTGAAAGACCTTGTTTCAAAA